CGCTCTATCGGCGCCCCCATCTCGCAGGGGGATGGGAGAAGCTCTCGGGGCCCGCTGTGGTTTGGCTCACGGCGCCTGGGGTGCCTCCGGCTCTGACACCTCCAGCGGGGTTTGCTGAGCGCTGCGTTTTCGGTGTTAATCTCTTCACCCGCCGCGGTGCACGGGCAAAGATGCTGAGGGGAGGCGCGGCGCTTCCTGCCGCACAGCCTGGCACGGCACGGCCCGGCCCGGCACGGCACGGGGGCTCCACCCCGCCCCAGCCACACCAGGACGTCGTGCCACGAGGTCAGGCAGCCGCTGGCCGTGTGACAGGGACACCGTCATTGTCACACCGTCATTGCCACCGCGTCCCTTGGGGCACGGATGTGCAGCTCCACCGGGGAGGAGAGGAGGGGAGGTTTAGCTCTGGTACACATCCAGCTCACCCAGGATTTTTTGGCACACGGAGGCTGCAGGACCCACAGCAGTGATGGGGAGGTGAGCAAGGAAGTAAATGCTGAGCCTGGTTTGCACCACAGCCCTGTGCAAGGCTCTGCTGTGGCACAGATCCTCCCAAAGAGCAGCTCTTGGTGGCTGTGTGTCCCCATTTCAGAGGTGCCAAACCACCCATGCAGGGCTGGTGCACTCACTGACACGTTGTGCTCAAAGCTGCTCCCTCAGCACCAGCTGCACCAGCAGCAGCAGAAAGAGCCCTCAGAACCAGGGATTTAGACTCGGTTTAGGAGTGTAAACTTTCTCTCAGCCTTTTAATGGTGACCCATGGATACACCCTTGCACGGGTCTGAGAGGGTGGGGATGGAGGATGGAGCAGAGCCCACAGCCCACACCAGTGACATTTCTGTGTAGTCCTGTGCAGGGTGAGAAGATGGACTCAATGATCCCGTGTGGGTCCTTTCCAACTATGGATATTCTATGATTCCATGGAGGCACAGGGCTGACCCCATCTCCCCATAACAAGGGATATTCTGTGATTTGGGGCAAAGCTTCTCAGGGTTTCCTGGGGGCTGGAGGAGGCCCTGCTCTCCCCCAGGCAGTGTGAGGAGCACAGAGACCCTCAGGCATGGCAGAAACCTCCTGATGGGGATCTGATCCTGCAGCCCAAGGCAGGGGGCTGGCTGCAGCTCCGTCACCCCCCTGCCCCAAAATGTGACTGGTCCCCACCCTGTTCCCATCTTGGTGCCAGTGCCAGCCCTCTCTCACTGGGGTCCCACCCAACACCCCCAAACTGCCCATGCTGGGACATCCCACCACTGCTGGCACCAGCTGGGCTGGAATGGGACAAAGACACTCATAGAAAAATAACAGAAAATATGTACAGAGAGTGAGTGCAGGGCACAGGGTGGGCACAGGGGTGCTGGCACCTGTCCCTTTGGCACCCAGTGGTGCCCAGCCAGGTGGGCTCCCCTGTGGCACTGCCCCTGCTCCTGGGGGCTATAGGTTGGTGATGTAAACCTGCAGCCCATTGGCTGCTGTGCGGGCAGAGCCTTTCTGGGACCCCCCTGCCCAGACATCCACCACACTCTCGTAGAGGTTCTCAGGCACACAGCCCTTCCCTGGCTTGGCCCCTTTTGCTGCCTTCTTCCAGTGAATGTCCACAGCCTCGTAGTCAGGCTCGGGGCCACGGGCCTGGACAGTCCATGCTCTGTCATTGATGGACTCATAACAGGGGTCAGGGGGGCCTGGGGCTGCTGGGGCCCCCTCCTGCTGGCAGGGGGTTGGCTCTCCAGACCCCCCGTCCTTCACAGCCCTTGGGGTTGATGCAGGGACCTGGGATTTCTTCTTGGTGGCTTTGCACACTGTTGAATACATCTCCTCCAGCTGCAAAAGGAAATTTTTTTTTGGGGTGGAGGTTTGGGGCCAATCCCTGCCCACTGCAGGGTACCCTCATGATTTTGTTCCCCCCATCTTCTGACAGCACCCCAGGAGGATGCTGGCAGTGCATCCTAACTTATACCCTGCCCCACACATGGGCACAGCCAGGAGAGATGGAATTAAATAACCCCCCCACCATGTGCCCCATCCCTGCTGTCCCCCAGAGTGTACCTTGGCATGAGGGGCACTGCCTGTGCCATCCCAGCCGTGCTGTGCTCCAGAGGGTCCTGCCACAGCCCCATCCTGCACCTCCACCGACACCACCTTCTTCACTTTATGGACACAGGCGTAATCAGCTGCGCCGTGCCCAGCCCGTGGAGGGGACAGCTGGGTGCCAGCTGGCATGGGGGGCACCGGGGTGACACTGGGGGGCACCGGGGTGCCCTCGTCCCCCACTGCCAGGCACTCATAGACAGCGTCTGGCGCCGGTTTGCGCAGAGGGGTGAAGAGCAGGTTGGAGTAGGTCTGGTCGGGGGCTGGGGAGGTGGCCGGGGGCTCAGGGACGGGGATCTGGGGCAGCTCACGGTGCAGGAGGCCAGAGCTGTGCAGGGATTCACCCCCAGGGGCCATGGCACCGGGGAGATCCAGGCTGGCCGGACGCTGGACTGTGGGAGAGAAGAGGGAATGAGGGGATGCAGTAGGCACCAAGCCCTGTGCCAGCGCTGTGGCATGTCTGTGATGGGCATGATGGGCAGCTTGGGGACTGCAGGGAGCTGCCAAGGGCCACCAGCCCCTCGGGCTCCCCCTGCTCCAGGGCACTCACCATCCCTGACCTTCACCCGGTACAGCTCGTGCAGCTTCGTGTCCGACTTGCTGAGTGAGCGCAGCTGTGTCTGGCAGAGCAGGGCCTGACGGGGGGACAGACACCCTCAGGCTGGGCTGGGAGCCCAGAGCACCCCCAGGGCTCATCCTGCCCCCCCGATGTGCTCTTACCTCCTCCACGAGCTTCACCCCGTCCGGAGCGACCTTCTTCCTGCCCTTCCTGCAGGGAGAGGTGGGGCTGAGCCCAGGGCAGGTGACAGAGCCAGGGGTGAGGAGCAGGGGTCCCAGTGTGGCACTCCCAAACCCACATCCTTCTCCTTCCCTGCCCCACAGCAGGCTCTGTGCTGCCTGGGGACATCACAATTGCATCCTGCACCCCACTGAGCTGTGCAGGGCACCACCCTTGGCATTGCCCCTGCTGCTCGCAGCTCAGCCCTCTCTGGGCTGCTCCTCTGAGGTTTTTGGGCATAGGGGCTGTGACACACAGGGATGCAGGATCAAGCCAGGCAGAGCTGCACTGGGGTGCAGGTGAGGGTTTGGGGTGAGCAGAGCAGCCGATCCCACGATCCCAGCTCAGGATGGCTGCACACAGAGTCCCCACCAAATGCCACCGAGGGGTCCCCAGCCCCACCCAGCCCCAGGAGGGAAAGTGGAGGAGTCATGGGCAGCACGTACCGTTTGCAGGCAGCACACAGGGTGCCCAGGTAGACCAGGCCACCGAGCAGGGCCAGGGCAGTGCCAGCTGGCAGCAGCCGGGTCCCTGCTGTCCCCTCGCCGCTGGCTGCAGCCATGGGGGAGCTGCTGGCAGCACCACTGAGCTCTGAGGAGAGAGAACACGAGCTGGGGTTCAGCCTGGAGCTGCTGGAATGGTGCTGTGTTACCCCCAGGGACCCCTGCAGCACCATCTCCCTGCAGGGCATCTCTCTGGATGCTCTGGATGGGGACATTTCACTGGGTGTCCCATTTTCTGGCCAGCGATTGCTGTCCCCAGAGTCACCATAACACCTCCAGTGCCCAGCCCCATGTGGACACTTGGCACTGGGTGCTCTGTCACCACCAGGGAAAAGTTTAGATTTTGGTTCCTTTTGAAAAAAACAATCCAACAAAACCAGCGGGATTCGAGCTCACAGAAATGGTGAAAAGGAGATGTCCAGGAGCCGTGAAAACCCTCTGGAGACACCCTAGGAATGACAGAGTGCTTTCAGGGGACACCAGGACACCAATCTGGGCTGTGGGATGGGGGTGACACCGCTCCTGAGCATAGGGGAGGCCAGTAAGGACAGGCAGTATGACTCAATTTCCTGGAAACAAGGGGAGCTTCAGCATCTCCTTCCTCTGCCTCCTCATGCCCTGGCCTCAGCAGAACACACCAGGACACCCTCCCTCTGCAATGGATTCACACATTCCCTGTGCCACCACAACCCCAGCTCTGCAGCCACTCTCTACAGTGACACAGAGCAGAAAATTCCCCATTTTCCACCCCTTTCCTGTGCCTAAAGCTGTGCCTTGCCCAACCCCAGCCCTTGTCCCTGTGCTTTCCTCAGGGCAAAAATCATCCCCTGCAAACGACGGCAGTGCAGGAGGGTGTCCTGACACAAAGCACGGGTGCTCCCCAGCCTGTCAGGATCACCTCCTTCCCCAGGAGGCTTTTGGTGACTCTGTCCCATCATTCCCATGCCACCATCCCCATCCCTGCTCTGCTGCCAGCACGCTGCAAACCCAAAGCAAAAGCTGACAGCCCTTCACCGGTGTCTGCGGCTCCCAGCTCTGCACAGCTCAGCTCTGTGCACCCTGCTCTACAAAAACAGCCTGGCCTCTCACCAGCACCCGAGAAATGCCTGATCTGAAAGGAGATGGAGGCAGTTCCTGGAGTAAAACACAGCTTCAAGAAGGCATGGTAGTTGATCCAGAAGGGGCCAGCAGTAGGGTCCCTGGGCAGAGCTGAGCAGGATCAGCTTCCACCAGCACAGATGGGAACACAGAGATCCAGAGGGACGTGCTGAGCGCCTCTCACTCACCCTCTTGCATATCTTCATCCAGATGAGCTCTGGTGAGGAGCCACCCTGCCTTGTGTAAATCTCAAAAGCTACTGCAGACCCACAGGAGCTCCCCTCTCCCCTGCACTCTGGGTCACACAGCATCTCTGGCACATTTTTACCCCAATATCCAGAAGGTCTCTGCCCATTTGCAGCACCCTTTTATCTGCGAGCATCCTTTTATCTAAGAACTTCCCATGCCTTTGGAAACTGCCCTGACTGAAGCATGAACCCTGGAGAGCAATTATTTCAAGGTAGAAAGTGAGACAGAGAGGTTTTAAGGGCTAACCAGGCTGGACAGACTGGCTTAGATCAGAGCTGGGAAGGGGAGGCTGTTCCCTTTCCAGCGTTTTAATTAGACAACACAGCTTTTCTGTCTGAGCACACTTTAATTATTGGGATTACCTGCAACAGGGCCGGTGTGTTAGACAGAGCCTGGAGCTCCTCGCTGGGCTCGTTCAGCTCATTAGAGGGATGGGATCATGGGCTGCAGGAGCAGGGCAGAGCTGAGCAGGCTCTGGAGTTGAGCAGACAAAGTTCTAGCGAGGTTTGATGGCCAGGAGCTGGTGTGATGTTGGAATCCAGGTGGGAGCTTTCAGCATGCTGAGGCAGGCGCACACGGGGCAGCTTATCCCACAGCAGGGGGATTTTCCATCCCTGAATTTTGAAGATTGAAAGGAGAGACTTCCTTGAGTAGGAATGAGCACAGAAAAATTCTTCTGGCCTATTTTCTGTAGAGCAGGTCGATGGTTGCTCCAGGATTTCTGAACAGTGAAACTGTGCAGTGCATCCTCCTCAGTGCTCAGGATCAGCAGCCACCAGGAGAAGCCACTTTTTAAGGACAGCACCTTGGGTCTCCCAAACCCACAGATTTGCAAGCAGAACCCCTGACTAACGACAGGTAGGACGGGGCAGGTTTGCAAGGCAAACACCTGGGTTTCCTGCCGATGGAGTTATCGATCTCCCTGCCCTGGGGCTGCTCCCCGGGGCTGGAGGCTCAGCAGAGGCGTTTCAAAGGCGCCGGCTCTGCCAGCCCAGCCCAGCCCAGCCCAGGCCCAGCCCCGGTGGCTTTGAAGGCGAGGGCGGTCACAGCCGTTGCGTACGTGTGACAGCACCCACAGCCCTGAGCAGGGATCTCTCCCCTCCGTGTGTGACACCCCAGCACAGGCACCCACAAGGCAGATGGGCTGTTACTCCAGGATGTGGGAGTTTTTTGTGAGTCCTATGAAAGGTGCAAGTTTTTCATCTGGGCTTCCTGAAAGCAAGATTAAATTCACTGCAAAACCAAGCGCTGCTGGTGATGATTCTGCCTGGCCTCTGATTCATCTCCCCAGATAAAACCACACGGTCTTCAGTGCAGGGTGGCAAGAAAAAAGTCTGCACAGCTACTCAAAGCCCATTTGCACAAAACCAAGAGGAACATTTTGAGCTGATTTCCATCAGCAACTGTGCACACAGCTGCAGCAAACTCTGCTCAGGTACCCCAGGGAGTTGTGCTTCAAAAAAGGCCCAAGAAGCAGAAGTAGACAGATTTTTTTTCTCTTCAGTTACAAAAAGTGAAAGATCTGTTTACAGTCAGTCACAACACTGAATCTGCCCTGGACCATGGGGTTCAATTAGTGAATTTTAAGATTATTTCAAAAAAGCAGGCATGAGATCTCACCCACTTTGCTTATTCTCCGTAATGAGACTTCACGGTCAAATACCTCTGGGGGCTTTTCATTTAGAAAGTGCCAACCATACTTCAAATGCCAGACCCAAATGCCTGAAAACTTGGATGCAGACTTCTAGCTGTTCTGATCGCTGCTCACATGCTGGTGTGGCTTTTGAGAAAACTTTAAAAGTTTCAGGTGAGTGACTGTCAGCCCACACCACAGGGCTCTGCTCGAGGCTGACCCCATTTCAGCACTTTTCTTTCTTCCTGCCCTTCCCTGGTTGCTGAACACTCACTTGGGCAAAAAAAATGCTTTTTTAAGGCAAGAATAATCTCAAGGGGTTTTCTGCAGAGCTCAGCCACAGCAGACCAACAGAGAGCTCAGAGTTGCTGTTATGGGAAGCCAGATTCCAAACTAGAGCATGGCTGTGTGAAGGAGATGTGTCTTCTCCAGGTTTCTTTTGCCACACATGCACTACGTCTACATCATCTTAGGTTTTCAGAAGACAGCATTTCAGGGGTCACGTTCTCAAGCCTCCTCACCCAGAGACAGGCGCTCAGCACTTTCCCATTGCACACACCAGCAAAACTCCTGTCCCCCTCCCCACAAAACAACTGGAAATTTCCACAATGCCACACGCCTCTGAACTGAATTCATTCACCCCAAAAGTAATTGGCTCCCACTCAGCCTCCAGACCCCAGCCATGGAATCCCAGCAGTATTGCCAAGCTCCACCACCTTTGCTTCCCTCTCAAGCCCAGCTACAGAGCACAAAACATGGAAAGACACAGCTTGGAGCCCAACTCACAAAGCTGAACCAGCTGAGGCTTCCCAGAGCAGAGCAGGAATCCTGCCTGTCCAGTCTATCCAGCCCCAAGAGCATCTCTGACAATGCTGTGACTTCTCTGCACTTTGGGGGGTTTAAGATATTTCCCTCTCAGTTTAGCTGCAGATTCCTCATTTCCCAGGCAGGAAAGCCACCACCACTTACTTGCAGAAACTCAAAATCCGGTGAGTGTGGAGCGCAGGGATCCAATCATGCTCTCTTCCCTGCTGGCCAGCCTGGAGAATTTCATATTTTATCCCACAGCAAGTCCCAGTCAGAGCCTCCCGCACATTTCCAACATCCCGATCTGAGCTCTCCCTGAGGAGCAGCCGGCTGTGAGCAGACACCGAGCACACCCACCACAGCTTCCTGGCCTCGGAGGTGGCGGCTGCAGCCCGGGGTAGGCTGGGTCTGTGCTCGCAGCCGGGGCGGGAAGCTCAGCACACCCGAGCAGCCTCTGCCCCGCCCGGCTCCTCCCGGAGCTCAGGGCGATGTAAGGCAAGAACGGGGAGCACCAGATCATCATTACCTTGCAAATGAACAACGCCTTACAAGGAGAGAGGAGGAAAAAAGAAACACCAACTTTATTCATCGGGGATGTGAACTGCGCTAGGTGGGAGGTGACAGGCTGTGGAGATCCCAAGGAAGGGTCAAAATAGGACTGAGCAAAGACACGGGGCTCATTCACCCAGTTCCTAAAGAGATTATGATGATGTTAAACAGTCTCAGAGCACAAAATAAACCCCCAAGTTTTCTCTGCCCAGCTCAGCTCTCCAGTCACGGGCCACTTCAGCGAGCATCCATGCTAAGCTGAGCACATTAATCCTTGTCACCACTTAGCACTCAAGTGAGAGAAACAAACAGTCATTTGTGAGGGAAGGGCCATTGTTAAACCCTTGAGTTGAGCCTGGTGTGTGAAGAACACGAATTCGGAACAATGAGGACAGAACAGCCAATTCCAATGGGAACTGATGGAACTGAGGCAGCCCATGACACATCCCACACCCACCAGGATCACAGCAGATCCAGGTGCTCTTCAGGAGCACAGACTCACTCCCACAGGTTTCCTGAAGATGTTCATCTTGTTTGGTTTTGCTGTCTCGCTGTGTTTCTGAGGTGTGTCTGCAGCAATGTGAAATCCCACACAACCTGAACAGCTCTGATCATATCTTCTTCAGTCTCAGATTTTCTTGCTCGTTTGGCAGCCTGACCCTGCAGATCAGGCACTGCCCTGCCCAGGCTGACAGCTTGTTTTTAATCTGTTCTTAGGGTAGA